TACAAAGCAGTGAGAGGGTTTAGGCAAAAGTTTCAATTCCACACCTCACATATTCTCAAGACATGTTTAGCAAAGTTCCAAGTTATTTAAAAATGTTCATGGTGTACAATTCAGAGACAAAATAAGTGAAAGGACAGGCAATACTAACACACACACACACACACACACACACACACAAACCAACCCACTGAGGGTGGAACATGCAAACATATTGAATCTACTCAGCATTAGTAATAACATTAGGTGAAATCTGATAAGTCAAAACTAGAGTAGGCCCATTTGAATCAATGGAACTTATAGAGGAGTTGATTCATCAAATCCCCGTTGATTCAGTGGACCTACTCTCATTGCAACTTACTACTGGATTTCTGCCATTCTCTATTTTTCAGAGAAAATATCAGAACTGTAATTAAAGAACACAAGGCAAACAGCAGTACAGTTCCCCTCTGGTCATTCCCTAGCTTAAAATTTGAACTATACTTTGGACCAGTGGTTCAAGCCAAACCTGTGAAGATGGCTGCAGCCTTTTTACAGTGTGCATGAATATATATTTTCCTCCAATTTTAATTTAGTTTCAGACTTTTTGTCTTGAAATTTTTAGTTCCTGCATTTGTTTTTATGCCCTTTCTATATTCCTTTTTGCGTCTTAAAATTCACTTGCAACTAAATCATTAAATGTTACTTTTTGGGGGGCATTTCATTTTCTTGGAATTTAATTTTGTTTTCAGGGGTCATTGGATTTAGGTGTCTTTAAATAAATAAATAAATAAATAAATAAATAAATAAATAAATAAATAAATAAATAAATAAATAAATAAATAAATAAATAAATAAATAAATAAATAAGATATCATCACCACGGGGAGGGGGGCGATGATAACTTCCTCAATGGCTCAAGGGGGTGTTTCTTTCAAAAAGGTTAAGAACCACTGCTTTGGACAATTATCAAAACATGTGACATTGCTAGATAACTTGCTCAAGTGTTTTCAGTTAAGCAAAATAGGTAACAAAACAGAGAATAAAAATTGGGCGGAAAAGGCAAAAATAATCGCTTTACTGAAACCAGGCAAAGAACCCTCAGACCCCAAAAGCTACAGGCCAGTCTCCCTACTATGCCCTGTATTCTTGAATGAATGATATTAAATCATATAACCCCTAAAACTGAACCTTTTCCAATTCCAGAACAGATAGATTTTCGACCTGGCAAGAGCTATATGGCTCAAATCTTAAATATAACCTGACATATAAAAGATGGTTTTGAAACATGTAAAATAACTGGAACAGCATTTGTCAGCCTTACTGCAGCATATGGTATGTAGCCCACCATCAATTGCTGCTCAGAAAGCTCTACCTTCTTTATTAAAGATCGTGGACTAACAGAAATAATAGATGTTCTACTTTACTGAAGATTCTTTGTCAATCATATCAACATTCATTTCAATATTGGGGTATAGGTTGTTTCATTGACCAAATGCTTCATCTCTTTTTTAAAAATGAGAATAAACCGTCGTATTCGCAAAGGCTTCCACATCCGGGATCTAATGGTTGTTGTGGGTTTTTTGGGCTCTTTGGCCATGTTCTGAAGGTTGTTCTTCCTAACGTTTCGCCAGTCTCTGTGGCCGGCATCTTCAGAGTATGTAAGTATGTAAGATATAATGGTCCCTAGGATGAGAGATGCACCAGTATTTTGTGTTTATGTATTAACTATGTTTTATGTTTTTGTAATATATTTGGTTTTATGTATTTTGGTTTTGTCAATTTTTTTAAGGTGAAGTAAATTTGTCTCTAGACATCCATGTTATATTCATTTTACAGTACTTTTTCCCAAGTAGAAAAGTAATTGCAGACTACATTATTTCTACAAGTTTTATTCACCTAAACTGCTTCTATGTTGCATATGCATAAAAATATAATTCCACAAATCCAAAAATTGAACAATGTATAACTTTTGTTACAGGCATTGTTACACAGAGATCCAATCATACTGTCACTTATAAGAAACTGCAGATTTTAATGCTTAAATAGAAATCCATTCTTACAAATTGAGGAAAACTACAGGTATGATTATCATACAAAATTCTTACAGCTGTGAAGAGGTTGTAGGTACAACTTCTTAAAAATATATGTAGAGTACACTTAAGTCGCAGGCAATATGCTTAAGTCGTGTTCCAAAAATGTTTCACAATAAAAGAGTTTAAAATAGATTGGCAAAAAATTAAGTAATGCTATAATTATATTTCGCAACTTCGGGAGTGTAAATGGTACAATTAAAATACAATTTTTACTTCAGTTTATGTTCAGCACACCAGGCACTTGTTGTGCAACATTTTCTTTCTTTCTGAAAGAAGATGCCTGGGTATCAATATTTTTTCTTAATTTTCATGGAGGACAAACCTGAAGTCCAAAGAAAATCTCTTCAAGGAGACCAAAGAACTGGGTGCAGAGAGATGCCCTCAAGAGCATCAATCAACACTTCACAGTCAAGGGAAATTTCCACAACATGTGAAGACATCAGCTTCTGCTCAATGTTTTTTTTTCCCAATTTGTTTTTTCTATAAAACAAAAAATAAATAAATAAAGCACAGCTACTCAAAAAACCCTTAAAAACATGAAAAATGCACACACATATGCCGGGGCCATGTGGAGATACACCCATTTTCCTTATCACCCCCTTTCTTTTTACACAGCTTCATTCCCCTTCCAAAACTGCATTGACTCTTGTGAAGACAACTCTACCCTTTTTGAAAAGATAACTTAATAAAGTCTCACAAAATATCACTAAAACCATCCCCATATATTGATTTCTTCTTAATTTTCATATTACATATTCTGTCATAAATTGCTGTATTCCAAACTTATTTGTACTGACCATCCAATTAAAAACATGCTTAACCTTCCAGTTCTTTGCTACCCTTAATCTTACTGCTCTTAATACATTTGGAATTAATTCTTTCATTGTCCAACTCCACCGATCTTTTATCAAATATCTAATACAGTAGAACCCCCATATCTACGGGGCATCGGTTCCAAGGTTTTCTTCAAAGACAATTAAGAATCCATTTCCCTTTTTGCCTGAGAGTGTTGAGGAAGGAGCTGGCTGGAAGGCAGGAATGGTGGAAGGTGGGAAACCTTTTTCTGGGGGGCAGTTTGGTTTAGATTCATCCAGCCCAGCTCTTGAGATTATAATGCTCTGGAACACAGAGGAAGCTGCTGGGAGACTAGGTGAAATGGTGGTAGTCTACTTATATAGCATAGTGTCTACAGTTCCAAACTGTATTTCTATTTTTTATGTAATATTTTTAATACCTGTATCTTCAGACTGTGGATAAGTAAATCAGTGGATACTGATCCTATGGTTAAGGGGGTCCTATTGTATTGATCAAAGAGCTATTTTAGGGCAAACCTCTATATCTAGCTGTACTATTCCATTTATTTCTTTAAAAACCAAACTTCAAAAATGTTAATATATATTCTTACGTTCCCACCACATATGGAAATAAGTTCCTACTACCTCACATCCTCTCCACCACAATTTAGACTCTTTAGTATCCTTAAGACTTAATTTCAGTTCTGTTCAATGTTCAAGAGTAGCTATTAAGGAGCCTGTCAGCCTCGGGTGGAAGAATGTTACGCAGATCTCAGATCTGGGTGGAGCACATGTATCATGGCATCAACCCAGGTCCCTTCTCCTCCTTCCTGTTCTTCTCTTGACCATCAGCCTCCTGGAGTCCTGTATTAACTCATTTTTATCTGGCTCCTTGCTGCCTTGGGGACGTGCTTCTCATCAAGCTACTTCTTTCTCCCCAGCTGTCTTCTCTCCCTCCTTTCTTGTGCTTTAACCTTTTCCCTTCTCTGAGCTCTTTCAGCCATCTCAAAAGCAACCTGGCATGCTCAGCCCCTCACACAGAGATAAGGCTTTTCACCAAAATTGTTCAAACCCAGACGTTTGGTAACACAGAGGGAGAGCAGATATCTCGAGAGTGGATCGATCGGTCATGGTAAAAATCCCTCAAATAGGGTGAGGAGAGGCTCTGGTGGGAAGAATGCCTTAGAGATGGGAGGACGTCTGGTGGGAGTCTCTTCTCAAGTCTGTAACGTTATGGTGCACACAGGAACTTGTGAACGTTCTCTTGGTGTTCCTTTTGCAGACTGCTGTGGTATCCAGAAGAGAATCATGCCATAAATGGAGTGGAGGCTGAAGCCAATGTCTTCATGAACTCTGCGCAGTGGATCATGCATTACCTCTCTATGGAAGCAGGTGTTGAGGTTCAGCAGCCAGCTGAAAGTCCAGACGTCTAAACTGAGGAGAAGCAAACAATCTGTGGAGTCTGTGGAGATGCTTTTCCTTGACAAAAGCACTACCAATTAGATCTCATCATCACAGCATGGCAGGAAGTGTCCCTCGCCCTGCAACATTCACTCCAGTGGCTGGTTTTCAAAGCTGAAGCTCTGATGCTGTTTTGATGAAATCTGCTGCGCATGGTATAGCAGCCTATAGAGACTGAATTCGGATGTAAAGCTGCCTTCGAAACACTGGTGTTGCAGCTGAAGCATCTGGCCTAGGGCTCTGTGGGGCATTCTGTCCTGCCCAGCAAGTTGAACTTGGCTCGTCTCTCTGTTTGCTTAAAGGCTAAACATATTCATATGCATTTGTTGCATATTAATCCTAAAGTGTGCCTCAAAGTAGCTCACGTATGTTAAAAAATTTAAGTACCAACAAAGGAAAGAGAAGAGAAAGGCCTGCAGTTGAGCTTAAATTTTTAAAATAAGTAAAGCAAGCAGTGTTTTGGGATGCACATAGAAAATGGTGGTTGATTGAGCAGCAAATGCCACTTACTGTTAAAGAGTAAGGAACAATCATTTATATACTACTACTAACCACATATGCAGATGAAAAAAGTCAGGAGAGGGAAGAATCTTCAGATCTTGGCAGAATTTAAATGGGAAAGGCAGAAATAAAAAACAGAAACAAAATATTTTCCTCAAGCAGTTAAAGCTCTGTTCTTCAAAGCATCTGCATAGCTGCCTGCTTGAGTTTGGGGTTAACCATCACCAAGATGGCAGCCTGAGCAGGGGAGTACACCATCATCACTACTGTAACAAGGACTGCTGCTTTTCTCTCCAAAGATGCAGCTATAGCCAAACCCTGTGCCACAACAAATGAAATGTAAAGGACCAGGAGACAGAGCACTGTCCTGGCTGCCTTCCGATGAGCTTCTGTTTGGAGGCTCTTTAAACTGGATTTGTTACCTTTCATACGGCAGATGTGCCTACAGAGTGAGCCGATAACCAGGATGGAGCAAAGAAAAACCACAAGCAAGGGGAAGCCGGAACCAACACTTAAAAAAGAGAGTTTGAAAGCAGGAGAAAGGTATGGTGTTGTGTTTCCTTGAGTCCCATTTGTAACATTGGCCATTGTCTTGCTTTTAATTGCCAGCAAAATATTTCGGAATGCAATCCAGCTAATAAAAAGCGGGATGATCAGAGATCCCACAAGAAGACGAGGTATAAGCCATGATATCTTCCGTTTCCACCACAGGAAGAGGGACTGAGTGCTGTTCACTATCTTGACACAATAGAAGACACAGAGCCAGGCAGTGAACCAGAATCTGGATGTCACAATGAAGATAGAAAAAGGAAAGAGTTTTGCTATTGTGTCATCGCTCATGGTGCTATTTGAAAATATACTAAAGTAATGTGGAGCCAATATGACTGCAGCACAGAGATTGGATATGCCAAGACTCAGAAGGAGTTGCTCACTGGAAGCGAGGCTCTTGCTTTTAGCCCAGTCACGGATTGTCACAGTAACAATGAAACCATTGGAGATGAGCCCACCAAGAGCCAAATCCGCTACAGTTACCAGAAGGGCAACAATTTGGGCAGAAGACATTTTCCTGAACCTCCAGTTGTTGCAGACTGTTCCGTAAAAGTGGTGTTTACTCCGCCAATCAAAGTCGTTGAGCTGAGATTGAAAGTCCAGGCAGCCGATCTGTAGTGTAGTTGGGTGCTGTTGTATATTTTTTTTTCTATGGGTTTGAGTATTGTGCTGTTCATCAAAGTATGCAAATGAACAGCGCTCTTGGGTAATACATTTCCATAGCATTTGTCTGGAACATAGATGCTGGTACAAACTAGATCGAAGGGCATGTCTCGTGACGTCAGGGAATGGGAAGAGATAGAGGCTTTGCTGTCAAAACATGGAACTCTTCTGAAAAAAGGGAAAACAGAAAGGTTTCTGTAGGACCCAATAGGCTCTTTACCTTCCTTATCCTTTCAGTTGCTCCTTAAATTATGTGTAGCATCATTCTGGGCGGTCAGTTCCTTGAGGTTTCTTTTTATGTAATGTATGTCTCTTTCTGCTCCAATAAAACTTGGCTCTGATGAGGCCCATGCTCTTACCAGTTTCCGTTCACTTTTTCCTTTACCTAGGACAGGGTGGTGAGCTTTTAGCAACCCAAACATTTAGGACTACAGCTTGAAGAATCCTCACCCTGTATGGCCAATTATAAAGGACTTGGAAGTTGTCATCCAAAATATCTGGAGTGCGAGATGGTTGCTACCACTGACCAAGGTCAAAAACCCTGGTCGCCTCTTACTTTCTGAGCAAAAGTATTTCACTGCACTCAGGATAGCTGTTGCTATACTGAAGATTTTAACTTTTTTGGAACATTGTTTCTAAGAATATACCATTTCACAAGTTAGTTCCTCTGCATTTAGTTCAGCTTACTCTAAGTGTGCATGAAACTGTGACCTTAAATTATGTTATATTTGTGAAATTATTGTTTCTGCAGTGTCTTAAACATTTTGGCTCATTTTAGGTACCTAGCTGTGGAGACAGAGGTTGGGAGCTCAGTTTCCCACACTACCTCCTATGGGCCGAGACAGCAAACTGAACACTCCACGGACACCCCCAGAAAAGGTAAAGGTAAAGGTTCCCCTTGACAATTTTTGTCCAGTTGTGTTTGACTCTAGTGGGCAGTGCTCATCCCCGTTTCCAAGCCGTAGAGCCAGCGTTTTGTCCGAAGACAATCTTCCGTGGTCACATGGCCAGTGTGACTTAGACACGGAATACTGTTACCTTCCCACCAAGGTGGTCCCTATTAATCTACTTCCACTTGCATGCTTTCGAACTGCTAGGTTGGCGGGAGCTGGGACGAGCGACGGGCGCTCACTCTGTCATGTGGATTCGATCTTCCAGCTGAAGCTCTACAGATCTTACAGTACAGAGGCTTCTGCGGTTTAACCCGCAGCGCCACCACATCCACCACCACCACCCAGAAAAAGGGAGTGGTAAAACCACTTCTGAGTGCTCTCTACCTGGAAAACTCTGTAAAAAAGGGTTGCTATAAGTCAGAATTTTCCTGACAACACATGATTATTATTATTTTAATTACGTAAAGAAGAGAAAATGAAAAGACATGTTCCAGAATGATATGGCACAGAAGTAACTATATCCCTTCTTAATTTGCATCTTTATGGTGGGAGCTCTAGCTTCGATGACACTGTCCAACCATCTCACCTGATACAATACTTCACCATAAAATTGAAGAAAAACTCAATTTCTCTTTAGTGTACACCTCTGCAATCTGTATCAGATAAATGTTTACACTTCTGCACTCTGTGTCAGATTAGAATTGCATTGCATAGTGATTCTGTTGTGCAGCAGAGTAAATCAAATTTCTTCAAGGGAACTCTTAAAAATGGGGGCAGCCTGAACAAAAGATTCAAATAGGCTAACAGCAACACAAAAAGCAGCTTATTTCACTGTGTATCTGCACCCTCAGTTGGCATAAATCTTGGCAGCACATTCCTTCAGGTTAAGAAGTCTGCAGAGGCTTTTGCTGTTGCACACTGTGTTGCATGACTTGTTGTACAACATCAAACATCTGCATTTGTGAACAAATGAGATTAGACAGTTCAAATTAGCTCAAAAATTCATGTGTCAAACTAGCTGCTAGCAGCATGAAACTGCAGCTGGCAGCATAAATATTTTAGCAGATATATTGTGCATAACAAAAAACAGTGTTTGCTTAATAAAACTTGAAACACCATATACCTGAATGAGCATTATTCCCTTCAAGTGTAGTTAAGAAATAATTAAGTGATAGGGATTGTTTTTGCTTTGTTATCATATCATGGTCATGACAATGTCCTTCAGAGCCCAGTTCTAACTATCTTTGAAAGAACAGAGGCAAGAAAGAAAGCTTCCAATAAGGACTGTATCTGATAGATGGCCTCCACATACATGTGGCTTTTAGCCAAAGGTGAAAATAAATGTAGTATGTAAATTTCCAAGAGAACAAAAATGACAAATGATGAAGCTGTTTTTAAAAATAAGTTTGTTAAGGTGAAATATATGACATTTGAACATATTCCTCAGAGCACTGTATGATTTTATAAAAAATTTTAGTAGTTTGAATCTGTCAGGTTTGTCAGAGTTGACATTTATCTCTTTTGAGGTTAGCCCCAGTGTGAGATTTAGATAACCATTATTTCAATGTACATTTTATTATTGAGGTATAGATTGTTTCACAGAGAATATGACTAAACTATAGTTTCATTCATGGTGAAGTAAGTCTGTCTCCAAACATTCACATTTTATTCATTATATTTTTTCCCAAGTAGACAAGTGTTTTATTTATTATTTATTTAAATGATTTTATTTATTGATTTTATTTAAATAAATAAGTGATTTCAGTCTAAATTACATTAATAAGTAATTTCAGGCTACATTGTTTCTACAAACTTTATTCATCTAATTGCTTCTATGTTGCATATGCATGAAAAATATAATTCCACAAATCCAGAAACTGAACAAAGTCTAACTTTTAGTACAGTCATGTTACTTCAGTTACACAGAAATACAATCATATGGTCGCTTAAGAGAAATTGCAGATTTTAATGCTTAAACAGAAATCTAATCTTGCAGTTTGAGAAAAGCTGCAGGTACAATTGTCATCCAAAATCATTACAGCTATGAAAAAAGCTGTAGGTTTAAATGCTTACAATTATGTGGAGACTCCTCTTAAGTTGCAGGCAATATACTTAAGTCATGTTCCAAAAATGTTTCAAAATATGTAAGGGTTTAATATATGCTAACAGGAACTTAAATAATGGTATAATTGTGTTTCAAAATTGCAGGAGCATAAAAGGCACAATTAAAATGCAATGAGCACGGTCATAGTCGTAAGAATGCTATTACAATAAATTCCCTTTAAAGTACTATGAATTCTTCTTGATCTCTTACAAATAATTTTTTTTTCATTAAAAAGATGAAAGACTAAGACTAAGAATGCAAATGTTAGACTAAGATGGCGATATAGCTGACAGTATGGACTGCTTGTGACACCCAGAGACCTTTAGGTAGAGTGGGCGGCATATAAATTAAATAAATAAAATAAATAAATGATCCAGTTCAGGCTATTTTCCAGCAACTATGGGATGCTAAGGAAGTTGTGAACCAGCCTGACTCTGTTCTGTTTCCATTACTTACTTTATTGGTCCAAGAATAGGGCTACTCTTTGGAGCTGGGCTGGAGCAGTAGGCACTGGATGATGTGTGCAGTGAAGGACCTTCAAAGAGGATCACAGCCAGTAAAGCAACCCTTTCCAGTGCATTCTAATATGATCCAGCTTCCCTGTCTGAGCTTACTCTTACTTACTGATGTCTCCTCTATTTATTAGGGGCCAAAAATGAGGGATATGCTAATCCTAACTCTGACACACTAGCTTCTTAGCATGCAGCAACTTTCACCATTGAGATTTATACCAATGAAGTTATACCAGAGCAAATAGGATTTAGGATTCTGCATGTTTATTCAGTTCTCCAAATAATCTTTGAGATACTTCAACGATACTCTGAAGTGCTTAGTAGGTATTCTTCACCTGACTATTTGCTCTGGAAATAAGAGAATAATATTTGAGCATGATTACACACACACACAAGTAATGAATGAAAGAAAAAGAATACAGTAGGGCCCCCATATCTGCGGGATCAGTATCTCTGGTTTCACTTACATGCGGTTTGCCACAGCCCTATATACAACATGCAGGGCGGGGGGCTTATGGCCTTTGAACCACTCCCTCGTTTGTTGTATAGAGACTTCCCTTGTATCCATGGTTTCAGGCATCCACTGTAGATTATAGAACTGTTCCCCTGTGGATACAGGAGTCCTACTCTACATTCTGTTGTCCACATTCCAGTGCTTGTAGATTCCTCTTTCCAAAACCTTTTAAAATTTCAAATAAGGCATATTTTGGTTTGTAGTAATAAACACCATACGCATGCTGATTTTATTCTGTGAGCGCCCAAATAAATCTTGCTGTTAACTCTGTGATAGCATATTCCTGAGCTTTCAAGGACACAGCACAGCGTTCAGTAATTTTTTATTCTGTTTTGCTTCTACAGGTGGTTCTCTCAAAGCGTGTATGCTTTGGCGTCCCAGATTGGCATTTCCAACTCAGTTGCTGAACTTGCAGAATGGTTTCCCCCTTAAATTAAGGAGTGCAAAATGAACCCATGAGAACTAGAGGATGTTTCTTCATGGGTGGTTATTTTACTGCAGCCCACGCTAAATGTATTCCTTCTCAAGTAGTCTGCCTTGCTTCCTCAGTTTAAGCAAAATATTACATCTCCAGCGCAAGAGCCACTGAACTAGCTTCAGGATGTAGTTTATGGGAAACGAATTTAACACTTCGTCACTTCCATGGTCTCAACTGAAATCAGCATCCCACTTGCCTTTTAGTCACAGTGGCAACAAACTTTCAATTTGTGTTGATGGAAACTTTCCTCCCACTGTGTGGTATCGGTGGATGTTAATTAGGAATAAAGTCAGATTAGGAATAAATTAGAGGCTGCTTCCTCATATCTGGTCCAGTTCAGCCGTCCCTG